GGGGGGGGGGGGGGGTTAGCAGAATAAGGTTGTGGTTTAAAATGATCCCCGTTATCACCCCTCGCTTCCAGTAGACCTACTTTGAGAAGTTTTGTGATTACCAAGAACATACAGATACTTAGACGCAAAAAGTCTCGGAAACTCCCGATTTGTATGTTCAAAAGGTCATCCTCCCCTCGGGAACATTCCCGAGTTAAAGCGTCATTTCCAATATTAGTTTGCTTTTGACGACGTCTTCGTCAAGGGCACCATTGTGAGCAGTTTGGTGGTCTTTATATGAGAACTCAGAGAACAAACGCGTTTAGGAGTATATGAATAAATTGGTGGAGTTGGTGTCGAATACGCACTCGAATGGGATAAAAACAAATGAAGGTGATGTGCTTAAAAAGTTGTTCTAAGTATGGTATTCCGTTTTGTATTGCGGGTTCATTTGCGATGAGCCTGATACGGTAGTTAACTGAGTATTTGGTACCCGAAGTGCAATAGAAATAGACAAACTCTATCCAAGAGAAAAAATATAAACCATCAAGTACCACAGAATACACGACCTAGATTGTGCGTTCAAGAGCAGCACTAAGACAAAATGACTGAAAAATGAATTTCTGCATGTCTTCTAAGCTCGAAAATCACGATATGTGCGAAGCTCTTTCACCATTAAAATGGGAATTTTCAGACATAGACGAGGTACATTCTGTGGTGTATCGCAGGAATAAGAAGGAGTGCCCAAGTACCGGCCGAATTGGTTGACAAAGAGGGCTGGGGTCATCCAAATTACACCATCTGGTTCTATCGTTTCGCACTTTTTGGAGCCAAATCACGTGATTGATCTGACTGATGTTTTTCACTCGCTTCTTCCCTCTATCGAGTTATTAGCTGAAATAAGAAGCACATCTAAACCATAATAATAACGCTCAAAATCCGCTTAACTCATCTCTCCTATGCTCCCCAAATCGATTCACAGGCGCTCTCAATCAACCATAGCCATTATTGCATTCGACGCAGTCACCTGTCCAATCCTCATATAAATTATGACACATCAATCAGGTGCGATGGATAAACAAAAATGAGCTTATTTACTGCTGTTTTTCTTGCCTTGGACAAATAACCATTTTGCAGAAACTCGCATGCATTTTTGCCCATGCACTAGGAAGCAAACAGGCACTAATGGTTTCAGTCGTTTTTTTTTAGGTTACACACTGAATGGAGCAAAATGAATCAGTTAAAACCGAGGTAAACAAATATTTTGCCAAAAAGTGGCACGCAGATCATGCCGTGTAGTTTGTGATGAAAAATGTCCGTTAGTTTTGAATTCAATTTTCTAGTCAAAATGTTAAACCAATGGAAAACTATTATCAAAGCTACTAGCATCAGCAGTATTTTTTCACAGTGCCACTTATACTACTAATACTAGAGCTAATGATATTAGTACCACAGCGTGGTAAAATTACTCTGTCTCCTGCGCGAAATCTCTCTCGAAAATTGGTTCTAATAAGTGAATCTGTCAAAGAGCTCGCAAACATAATACGATTTTGCTTAAAAGTTATGTTCAGTTTAACGACTCGACCGTGTGATTTTCAGTAAAGCAGAAAAATGAGCTTTAAACCAATGACTTATTTTTTTATGAGTAACCATAGAGCATCACACAGATGCCATTAGAAGTTGATTCAATGAGATTTATCGAACATGAATTGTGATATTCGGTTATCACCTTGCCCCATCGATTTCGCTCTGTTTCTTTGTCCCGTGCAACGAAACACAAAATAGTAACTACGTGCATGTACGAGTCGGCGGTCATCAAACCGGAATACAATATGAAGCCGTATTTCCTGGTTCTTAACGGGACCGGCGATTGGCAGAATATGACAAAGCACGAGGGGATACCGTATGCTTTGAAGGCGAACATTCGTTTTTTCTGTCAAGATGACTACGAGACGGTCAATCAGAATAGTGATTTCAACATCACTTGCAGTGACTCGGGCTTGTGGAATCCGCAACTGATTGGCTGTATTCGTAAGTTCACAAACAGTGCCGATTTTTGAGACACATAACGACCGAGTGTATCGTAGCAATTATTGTTAGCCGTTTGGACTGGCAAATCGAATAAAGGGCCCAACTGAATAGTGCTACGCCACGGGTAACATTAACCATGAAGTGTTTTCATTGCTTCATTTTGATTGAATTTTCACACAAATATTCAATGATTGTGAGAACTCTGGTAGAATGGTGAAACTAGACAAATGGGTTCGACTGCTTGACTTAATGGACCGGTACGCTTAAGAAAAGCTTCGATTGACCGCTACAACCAGATCCTCGGTAAAACTGTATATTGGAACCGGATGAAGAAAAAGACGGTAATCATCCCATTTAGTCTTGATGAATGCGTGCTTTCCCAAACTTTGGGACAATTATTTGTACAGAAGTAGCACATCTGAGCTGGTGGACAATGATGTATTCCACCGCCTTTGTCTCCATAATGTTAGCAAATCCTAACTGTGGTTCAAAGAAACTATAACATGCATTAACGGCCACACCCCGAAAACCGTTCGGTAGGTGGGTCAGATCAGGTTGAGGATAACTGGGGTTCAAATACTCCAGCGAAACATGGTGTAGTAAGCAAAGACCACTAGTCTGCAACAGCCCCGAAGATACCAACTACTTGGTTCAACGGTTACGTGGGGAATGTGTCCGAACGACAAAGATGAATAGACCCTGTGAGTGAATCCATAGGTTGACGAATAAACATCACCAGGGACCCCGGAAATCGTACGCAATACTGATACCTCGCAGTACGCATTTCGTTGTTTGAAGCTGATTGACAACGGGGACATCGCAGTTGCATAAAATATACGTATTCCCGAAACCGGATTACTTCTCCATGAAGCGTCTTATGCTTCCTAGGAAGTCAATTGAAGTAAAGAAATTTTGCATCGGTAAAACGTTCCTAATGCCTAACTGGTCAAACTTGTCATGGAACTCCGTTGTGAATTCCTTTAAGTTTAGAGTGGAAGTCAGAACAGAATAAATTTATCGACTAGTGTTGCGAACAAGAATAATTCAATAAGAAAAGCACTGGTAGCACATTGTTCGTGTAGGAGCCATACACATAGGTGCTACACCCCAAAGCACAGTGCTATGTGTGACATGCATTACCCAGGAGTTACCTTTCTTCTATGTTGGCAACAATGTAGGTGTTTTCGACAGGACCGCTGTTTACGCTTGCTTGCTGACAGTTCAGTCAATAATACATGCTAACTGTGACGCGTGACATACCAAAAAGCAACTGGTGATAAAACAGAAGACCCATATGGAGACCAAACATCAAATCTCCAATCAAATTGATATATGTGGGAAGAAATAGATCCCCAACTACAGCTTGTCCAGTGATGAGGGCAACAAAGATACAGATCACCATAGTAGTGACGTAGGGGTTCATCAAGAATTCAACGAGCAAACTTTGCCCAGAGGGATATATGCTGACCGGGGAGTTTTCCGATTAAATTGTTGAAGCATGAGCGATCATTGATATATATCGGTGCGAAGCCATCGTCTTTTATTAGGAGCCTGTGAAATACAATGGGAGTACACTTAAAGTAACATGGGAAGAATCTACCTCTCACTAAATATGGAAATGAATTGTTTGTGACTTTGAGCTAGTTGATGATCGACACCCATCCTTGTGTGGTCGGGTCAACTTAGTTTCATAAGCGTATTTCAAAAAAATAAACGATCATGCAAGATTTATTGAATGACAAATTGATCTTTGTAAACCCCTCTCTACCAAGAAAAGTAGTCTGAGCCCTTAACCCTGGTTAATCGATCGACTGATGACATACGTTATGTCGACGTTTTCCATTGCATACTAAATTTATCGAATCACATGCAACCAAGAAGCGGTTTTTCACTCTTGTTATGCGTGGTTAGCGTATAAATTAACTCAGTACATAATCGTTTAGCCGAGAATCCCATTTGAACAGTTCCGATTGATTAAACTGACACCACATGGACTATTAGTATCTATATTCATACTATCCGGTTAGTCATTTCCATTGAATAGTGTTTGGAGGCAGAGAGTGGGAGTGTAAACGAAGTGACTGACGTCCAAAATATCATTAAATGCTTCATAAATATCTTATGGACGCACAGTTCGGATTTTATTTCTGTTTATAATTATTACGCTTATTGACTTTAACTTCATTTTTATCCTCCACACATTGTCTTTTTGATATACAACCTCTGTTTTACTTATTGTTGAGTTGAGTTGACAATTGATTGCTATCCTTCGAAACTGACAGCCAAAACTCATTCTACCAGCAATGTTAATCTTGCTATTCCCATCAGTATAAAATAAAAATAAATATCTCGTGCTTTGACAGTGGCGAATGGAAAAATACCCGATTTGACCAATGGGAATGGAGTATTGAGGAGAGCAATTTGGAAGAAGTCAGTGGGTAGTTGTTAAACAGCCACACTGGGTCTCCATCGAAAAATGAATCGGGAAAATGAACAAATATGAACCATAGCAATGTCCAGTTTATGATGACCGTTGCGGTTTGTGAAAATCTATCGGGATAGAGTTGTCACGATGTTTAGGTAGATAAAAGATTGGACAGATGCATCTCGCTTTAGCGAACGCGAGTTAAACGAGAAAAAACATGGTAACACTAACCGAAGCTGAAAACAATGGGACGAGTTTTCATGTACACAAACAAACGAAGATTCTGCTTCTAGTGAGCAGTCTGGTGCGGTCTTTGTGAGTACTGAGAGAGGGGAAAATGTTTGGAAACGTCTATAACACAGGAGACCGGAATGAGTGAACATTAAATAAATTGATGTGGTGAGTTTAAGATTTCAACGGAAAAGGTTCTCCTATCCGAATGGCCTCTATGCGCTTCAACCTTTATTTTACAATTTCTGTAAACAACAATGGTGGCCAATGGTGGAGAACTATTTTATTCCAGTAACGTGCTACCTACTTTGAGAGAAATGGTTGGCGGTGGCGCAGTGGTTTAATCGTTGTCACTGGTGTGCTTTGAACCCCACAGTCCGAGGTTCGAGCCCCGCCACTTCCATCCGACTTTGGTGGTAGACAACTTTACTGTAGTCCGGTTCAATACCACACATAACCTATCGGGGTCTTATGTGGTTCGCCACTCCAAGTCCCGGGGCTTACGTTACTGGTTTTCATGACGGAGCAGCAGGTATTCGTGACTATGGGGTTCGCTCCGTCTACTGATCACCACAAAAATGTGTGTAATATAAAAAAGTTTATTCAGAAGTTCTCCAAATCTAGCTAAACGATCTGCACCATTTTCAAGAATATGTAAACATATGCAATTCAGAGGTGACAAGTCAAATCCCCGCGGAAACAACGTTATTCATTGACTTATACTCTCCTGCGTTGAGATTACTCAGTAACCAGTCGGAAACGAGAATAGTGTTTCGCGCGCCTCAATGTTCCGAGGAAAATTACTGACGGGTTCACAAGATAAAAACAGCTACCCTGCAATATTTGTCAGGTCACTGTGAAATCACCACACACTGTTTGAGATGGTTATAGAATATACTAGAGACAGAGCAAAAGTATACTAACGAGGCGAGTCCCAGTGCATTTGTCCCAGAATACAATTATAGTGTAATCACTTCCTCAAGTACTTCAAACTAATCACCAGCGTTGCAGCCATAATCCGTATGCGCAATAGATTTATGCAAGTATATCTCCCGCAAATTCAGATGCTACCGGTTGCGCTTCTAGATTACGGATCGGTGAAGACCTCAGTGGAAATCGCTTCACTAAATGAGCATTCGTTGAGGCAGAGCTGTGACGTCCGGGGACTGAAGGAATTTTTGTTTGACAAACAGCCTGTCGGATACAAGAAACAACAGTGTTCACAGAAGACATCCTGATGTGATCAAAGCTGACCCGCCAGTAAAAAGGCCATTGCCATCACTCTGCCTGTGCAGGGGCTAGAGATGCACCTCTGACAAAAACCAAGTGACAGTGGGACCACAAACTAGCTTTAAAATAATCTATAAAGCCAAATTATCCAGAATTACCAGGAAACATAAAAGAGCCAGGAAGAGACATAAAAATATATTTACGTCGCGTAATAGTTTGATAATTTCCACTTCATTAAACCTTTGAACAACATATGTTCTGTTCTTGAGCAGCCGTAGCTGTTATCACGATTGTTGAACCCCACACCTAAGAAAAAAGCATTCTTTGCAAAAATGTGGTTCGTCTTTATGGACCTCAAGACCTGGTGGCAATGTTGTCCACTTCTAATGCGCGAGCAGAAGACTAAAACAATTAACTCTAAATCCCGGGATGAAGATACAAGACGATAATTCTTATGATTCGAAAATCAGGAAAATAAGCACAAAATTGCTTGCAATAAAGATATCCCATCTCTCAACCAATCTTGTTTTCCACGCATAAACTTTTAGCGATTGTTTTAACTCCTCTTTTTATTTCTCCCCACCTCGTACCAAACCACCGATATAAAAGCGAAAACTGAAGATTTGCCATTGTCTAGCACTGGACGTTTTCAAACTGAACCGGAAGAGGCGAAATCTGCGAAACAAATTTCCTCCATTATGTTCATTCTGATTTTCATCTTCCTCGGGCTCATTGTGCTTTTGGATCTGACCACAATCGGGCGTGATACCAAACAGTTGTGGACCAATTTAAAATTACAGCACAAACGGATAACACGCAAGTCAAAGAGATCGCAGCGCGGCAGTGCAGATGATTTCAAGAAATCGACTGGTTTCATGAACGATGGTGATAATGAGCAGTCCACTTTCGCAATTCGGCATCGAAACGATCTTTAAGCGATACACACCAAGAAAATGATATGATAGATATACAAAGGACATTGCGCTTTGTTTTTCAGACCAGCTTTTAGCGTAAAATGTTACTCATAAATTCTCATTATTTTCAACCAACTTCTTTGGGGCTTGATTATTTACATTACAATATTTCTCTTCCGTGCATTTATTCATTCCTTCGAATAATACGAAATTCATGATTTGAATTCATCAAGTAATTAACAGAATGACTCTTGTTCCATCTTATCTTACTTCGCCTAAGCTTACTTCATTATCTCTGAGAAATAAACTACGTTGCAATAATTTCTGGACACTTTTCCTCATCAGTGTTTTCATTTTTGTTTTAATATATAAGTTTCATCATTTATTTATCATCCAAGCTTGGTGATATACACATAAAAGCGCTCGGAATGAAACAGACATGTGTAAAATCGACCTCTTTTGGTGGAGGTATAGTTAGTTTATTTTTTCAACGACATAATTAGCCCTCTCAGTTGAAAAATATAAGCACAATGGCTTTTGTTCTATCCCAACGGTTGGGCTATTTGTGTTCAACTGGTGTCGGTGGCCAAATGATCCGAATAGCCATTACACCAGCTGCCACTTCCATCTTGCCACAGCTATCTCCACCAGCATCGTTTTTCACTGCACTAAGTGCTACAGGGATAGCAGACTGCGTTTCTCAATTCACCAAACGCTTTAAAGGAAGCGATCGTAGAATTTTGTAACATATTGGAGGAAAACCGTCCAAAACAGTTACTCGACGGAACTCGTCCATAGATGGCAACACCTCAAACAACACGACTTGGTTTGTCATCTAGGTGAGAAACCAGACATCAAGGTTACTCCGAAATGAGAACGTGTTGTCTGTCCTAAATGCAGGATTTTTATCGGGATACATTGGGACAATTCGATGCTCGACGAAATCGTAGGGTAGTCCAGGGGGTGGGGTGGGTGGTGTGCACTTCACATTGGTCTGTCAAGTGCAGCTATGAAATGTGCCGTACGATGCACTTATACATCGTACTCAGAGGGAAAATCGTAAGCGATGGACTCCGGCCTATCTTAATCAAGTCGTCCGTTTGCCAAAATAATACTGCAGGTTGTATGGAGAAAGGCAATAGAAGAGACGAAAAACAAATTAGGGTAATCATCAGACACGAACATATATTTCAGTTTCACGATTCATTTATTATTTGACTGTCTTCATAAATGAAGGTTCCAATGACCGGTGATTTATAAAGTAACGCCTCTATGACCACTTGCAGTAACTGCTGTGATAAACTTGGGATCCATCGTCGTTTTGATAGCCAAAAAGTGACATTGGCAGACAAACTGGTAGTGAATAGGGTCGATTAATCGCTCGTTCTGTTCGGGCGTATGTGGTTTGGTTCGGAGTTTTCGTCTTGGGGTTGCCGATTCCAATGGTTAAAGGTTAAACACTCGTAATCATGAAGTTTATTTCATCAGCCGTAACGTATACCGTAATTAAAAAAGAAAACCACGGGTGCATGATGTGATTTTCCCACATACGATCGGCATCAGAGTGTAAACAAACTATTTTCATGTAAACATATTATGAATGGCTAATGTGTTCGATCGATTAGTATGATGAACTAAGAAGGAATTTTGAAGAAATTAGCTTGTTTTTCTTCCACGCCAAAACTAAACTTCTACATGCGGTATTAGTGCAAGCCATTTGGTTTTATTGGGAAACGCTTATCAAGATGACTTAATTGCGTTCCGTGAATCAGATCAATGGAACATGAAACCATCAGGGCATGTGAGAATGAACATTTTTTCTGTCCGCTGAAGATCACGTCTTTTCATTCGGAAGTCTGGTTGATGCGATTTCAAATCAGCCTATCTCTCTGGGTGAAAATGAAGTGCAATACTGGTTCTAACAGTTGATGTTGTATGCCCGTTAACGTGCACCGAAATATTAAAACCAGTGTACCGTTAACCCACGTGTTACCGGATTCGTATCTGCAAGCAGCTCCATCTGGCGCATTGACTGATGTTCCTCCGTTGACGTCCAAATTAATTCTTCAAGTCACACCCGTGTGGACAATGTCAAAATTTCATGATTAACCGGTGGTGTTGCGGGTTTTCCGACATTCTTTCAGATATTGGTGTCCAAATCCAAGTACCTGAGTATATTCCCGTGGTTATAGCTCAAATAACTTTGGCCCGGTTGCGGTTCATTGCCGTTTTAAAGTAAGGGAACTATAAACTAAACCACGATGCATGACCTTGGTTTTCATCATTCGCTTACCATGCTCAATGAGTTTGAAGGTCAATATTGAATGACTGGATACCTTTCATTAAAATTAAGGGAAAGGTTAGAAAGTTTGTCTTAACAAATGCCCTGAGAGTTTGGTACTAGTTTTCAGAACATCCTGAAAAAACGTTGAGTAGGATAAATACGTTTAGTCGGGTTACAATTCAAATAAGCCTAGATGAACAGTTTTATCATCATCTCATCAGATTTGATCAAGTTGAGTGGTTTGTTTCCCGTTTACTTGCATTGATAATCAAAATGAAGTTAGTAGCATCCAGTGCTCTACGCTTCACTGATACTCTGTGACGCTCACGATTTTCTGGTGGGTACAAGCGCTTTCAGAGCTTCCGTATTTCACGCGACTCCAAGAAATAAGTGGTTAATTGGTCAATCGATAAATGGAATCAGAAACTGATATTTTAAGTAATTAGTTGTGCTATGAATGTGCACGAGTGGAATGTCAGCCGGTTAATGCACAACCACAGAACACAAATAGATATAGTTGGATACCTATTGAATTCAAACACATGACAAGCATATGGGTATGACGGTGGAGGTAAATTTATATCGCGATAAATTTACAGATAAACCCTTATGCGAACTGGGACAGTTTGGATGAGAAATTGATGTACATCGCTGCTCGTTTCTGCGCCGTCCATAAGTTGTGCGAATTTCAGATTTAGTTGTGTTATTTTGCGTGTTTGTGCTTATTGTTTAAGGTGTCGCAAGCATCTGATGTCTGAAAAATTCATAGCCCGAGTTCAACTAGTAGGATTACTATTTTGAGGCCACTTGCCTAAGCTGCCAGTCCTAATGAACTGACATACAATCAGGCAATAGAGTGAAGTTCTAGTTCTGCTGAACTGCTTGCAGCACATTGCAATAACTGACTTGAAACTCAAATGTTTGTCCGAATGGTTATTGATATTTTTCCTTTCCAACCGTGATCAGATGACTACTCAAATAAAGAACGCGTTTCACAACGGCAGAACATTACAAGACACAGGTCTTCTGGTTCCCGTCGACGCAAAACCTCCCAGCTTCTATTTAAACTGCCAGTTCATATCAGTCCTCCGTCTGAAATGTAGATCAATCGGGAAATAAAGTATCTTGGACAACTTAGGACCTCTGATCTGGAAAGACTATCCCCAAGTACTTTTCAGATTGGAGAATCTGCCTTTATCTTGGAATAGAGGAAACTCATGGGTAAAGTAGATGGGAGGAAACAGGTCTGAATTGAATTATGTGAGTCAATTATCTTACTTTATTCCAAAAAGGTAACAGATCCTTTTATAAAAATCACAAAAGAGTTATTTTGATCACCTCTGTCTCTAAGATTATCGCTGGTAATGTACTCCGTCGACGTTTTTGCCGCATGTGAATGGTGTACGCTTGGGAGTCAGGTTGCTTTTAGACCTGGTCAAATTTTGGAACACTAATAAACCGTTCCTAAACCACCGTCTCCATCATCCTTGATTTGAAAGCAGACCTCAACTCCATACTCTGGCACTACCCCTCCCTGAATGGTGTGTCTAAGAAGTTTATTCAAACATTGCTATTAAGTTGTACCGAAAGCCGAAGCCGAGTCGGGCCTATGACGTGTTTTTACTAGGGTTTATCATGGAAAGCACAGTTCGTCAGGGTTGTTCTCTCTCCTTTTATATACAAATTGGTAAGGGATCTGGTTCTGGAAACAATCCTGTCCTCGTACGAGGATAGTAGTGTCGATTGATTTCGACCGTACAGATATTACCGTGCAACTAAATGTAGATGTAGGTAAGTTGCAAGCTTTTCTGATTACTTTGTGTGCTAGCATAGCCGTGATCGGTATGCACTTTGCACCTTCGACGTGTAAAATGTTGCTGCAGGACCAGGTCGGTCCAGCTTCCAACTTCAGTCTAACTGGGAAAGCAGTAGCGAAAGTAGACAAATTTTGCTATTCGGATAGGTATATCTCATCCGGTGGACGCACGACGGATAAAGTTTTGGTTCGCATACAGGATGCTCCATTGACATTTGTCACCTCCAGACAACTCTTGTGTCGTCACAGCCGTTCGTAAAAGGTGCAGAGTCTTGCCATTATGAAAACAGGATAAAGACAGAATGTTGGTGTTTAAACATCGCTTTCTATGCAGCACTGTACGAGTCTGGTGGGGAAACCGGACAAGCATTGCCGAAGTTAGGAGCATATCTTTATGGGGAATGCGTTTGAGTTTCGCTGTATGAAAAAGAACGTCACCCTTTCTTATTATCAAGCTTAGATAGAAAGGAACAGGGTTTAAATCACTGGATCCTTTCTATCCATCGCATCAAGACTGAAAGAGAATGCATACCACGAGATGCTAACATTTCGTTTAATCTCCCCAATCGCTGATGTAAAACAAGCATTCGCATATACAGCACTTGGTTTGGCAAACCCTATAAAACGCAAGCACCTAGAGGGATGATCAATCGTCAGCTATCCTAAAGACAGACCGCATACTTACCAAAGTGGTTAGTGAGGTTGATGATTTAACCCACACCAGACAGTCAGGCGGTCACAAATAGCAAAACACAGTATGACAGCTAAACATAAATTCTATCATTTCCTCTTTCAAACCCTCATTGCGTAAGCGCAGTGTAAATTCGTTTGCAATTAGCGGGGCGTTATTGACCTGCTTTTTTACATCACCCATTAGAGAGATTATAATTTTGGTACGCACTTCATAATTACTTGCATTTT